TTTTTTTTTCTTATATTTATTTTCATATTTAGGTATGTGGTGTAGCATTAAATTATAATGATCTTGACGAAATTCGTGATCGTCTTGAAGAAGTTGCACCAAATTTAACACGTATGGATTCAATTGAAGAAGCTAATTATTTTAAACAAAATGTTGAACTTTTAAAACAACATAAAACATCATTTAATAATCAACCATTAACGCCTCCAATAAATGAACTTAAAGATTTTTATATGACTGATTCAATAAGTCGTGCATCATTGACGATGGCTAAATGTGTTAAAGCTGTTGAACAACAATTAAAATCACGTCATACAAATTAAATTAAGCGAAAAACAAATAAATAACCATTGACAGTCTAGTTTTTTGTATTTGTCCTTCCATTTCTTTTCTTTTTTTGTATAAATCCTTCAACGTAGCATACTTGCCATTGTCTTTTTTTCTCATCAATAAACAGCAAACGAAAAGACAAAAACAAACAAAAAAACAAAAAAAAAACAATTTTGTTTCCTTGTAATTAAATTTTTTAAATATTCTAGATTTAATTTTAAATGAAATATATTCTCTTAAATAAAATGTTTCTTTCATCTATACAATATACTCATACAAGAAATTTATATCTTACATTAATGAGTATAGTATATACATTTGCATTAGCATCATTATATTGGCAACAACCAGGTTTATATTCTGATAATGGTATATTACCACTTCGTTTACAAGTTCGACAACATGAAAAAACAAATCTATTTATTGTTAAACTTGCACGTTTATTTAATTGGACACCATATCGTATAATGGAATGTATTTTATTAATATCAATATTATTAAGTTCATTAATGATTATATTTAAATGTTTACGTACAAGTTTAACATTTTCAATACTTTGGTTATCATATTATAGTTGTTTTCAAGTAGCTGGTCAATTTTTATATTTTCAATGGGATACATTATTATTAGAAACAGGTTTTTTAACAATATTTGTTGCACCAATGAGAATATTATATATAAAACAAAAAGAAAATAAAGATTATTTATATCAAGATCGAATAACACTTTGGTTAATACGATGGTTAGCTTTTCGTCTTTTATTTGCAAGTGGAATTGTTAAATTAACAGGTGGTGATGAGACATGGTGGGCATTAACAGCAACAACATATCATTATCAATCACAATGTTTGCCAACACCATTAGCTTATTATGCACATCATACACCTATTTGGTTACATAAATTATCAACAGCACTTGTTTATATGCTTATGTCTGGTACGGGTATATTATTTTTTTCACCATTTCGTATACATCGTTTAATTGCTTTTAATTTACAAATTTTTTTACAAATATTAATTGCATTAACTGGAAATTATAATTTTTTTAATTTATTAACAATTATTGTATGTATTGGTTTAATTGATGATCAATTTTTGGGTTATTCACAATGGAAAATAATAAATAATGAACAAAAATCAAAAAAACCTTTTTCATGGTTATTTACACTTTTTCGTCGATTAATTCATTTGATTCTACTTATAACATATATTTATTTAACAATACGTTGGTTTGATATACATTGGAATAATAAACAACAAATAATCTCAACAAAAATAACATTTACTCATGCTCAATTAGATCTTTTCTTACGAAGATTTTTACCTGTTTGCCTTTTTATTGCATGGTGCTCATTAATTTTTACTATTGGACGTTCAGTTTTTATTGCTATTTGTTGTCCAAAGAAAATTTATGGAAAAATTTTTCATCCATTAGTTACTATGGCATATGGAATTCTAGCTATGAGTTTATTTTTTGTTTCAATGGTACCATTTACAGTTATTGAACGTAAAACAGGCAATGCTTTACCTCATGAATTACAATTATGGTATAATAAATTTCAAGATTATCATATTTTTAATGCTTATGGTTTGTTCAGAAGCATGTAAGTCATTTCATCTTTTTGTTTTTGTTTTGGTTTAAACTTTTGTGTTCATCTCATTCAAGAATATAAGATATGATATGATATGATATCTTTTACAGATCAGATGTTCTCATGAGGAGATTTACAAAGATAGAATTGGTATCTACTTTTTTTTAAGACTCGGCTTTATGAGAGAATGTTTTCAATTGATTAATTGCTTTTGACTTTGAACTCAACGCATAAAGTAGAATCCAGTGAGATATGAAAGAGCTCAAAAGGATAAGTTCTGTTAGTCCTTCTATCCAGAGTTCTAGGCATTTTATGAGAATTCCAGTCTCTAGTAGAGTATAGATCATGTCAGAAGCTAAAACTCCAGTAAAATGTCTATAATTCTAAACAGAAGTCTTCATAGGACTTATCTTTTTGAAGTTTTTCATATCTTATTAGACTTTCTAGTTGAACTCTAGATTCAGTTATGCTTTGTCAAAATTTCTTGAATCTAGATTCGCACTTTTCATAGAGCCTGTCGAATTCAATTTCACAATGGACTCGATTGATATCAGTATTGAATTTACGATAGTAATTAGAGACAGATAATTTAATAACGAAGATTCGATAGGTTCTACCGATCGTTAGTATTGATTCCATCTCACAAGATAACCTTAACTGCTATATTTCTCATTTTCATAGGAATATGACACGATTCTTAACTTAATCTGTAATGATTATTTTATTTTTTTAAGGACTGGAATTAACGGTCGACCAGAATTGATTATTGAAGGTGCAATGAATACAAAAAAGTAAATCGTTTTATGAATATATTTTTTTGAATTATTTCATTTATTTATTTAGTCCAAAATGGAAAGAATATGAATTTTTCTATAAACCAGGTTCATTATCAGCTGCACCACCATTCGTTGCTCCACATCAACCTCGATTAGATTGGTAAATTGAATTATTAGCAAAAAAAAACAATTTTTAAAAAAAAAATTTCATAATTTATAATTTTTGTTTTTGTAGGCAAATGTGGTTTGCTGCTTTAAGTCATTATCAACATGAACCATGGTTAGCATTTTTTCTTTATCGTCTTTTAACAAATCAACCAGAAGTTTTACGATTAATTCAAACAAATCCATTTCCAACAACACCACCAAAACAAATACGTGTTCTTCTTTATCATTATAATTTTACTACACCACCATCAAAAGATTATTGGAAACGTGAATTAATTAATAATGAATGGTTTCCAATTATTTCATTAGAAAGTCAATGGTTTATGTCTTATATTGAACAACAAAATATGTTACAAATAACGAAACCATTACCAACAAGTATTCTTTTAGATATAATACGTTCCATAAGTAATTTCATGAATGGTACTATGTTTACATGGTTTCCTGTTATTATTGCTTTAGTACTTGTTATTCTACGAAAAATTCTTTGTACAAAACCTCATATACCAATTTTTATAAAAAAAGACAACGAAGGATATCAACCTGTACCACTGAAAGATAAAAATAATTAACTGAAATCTCATTCTCTCTCTCTCTCTCTAGTCGTCTAACATCAAAATTTTCTTTTTTTTTTGCTCATTATATGCTTTGTTGTTGTGATTGTTGTTGTTGGTTTGATTAAAAATGATAAATAAAAAAAATGTTTTTGTGAGTACGATAGTGAAGTTACACTGTTATTGTTAATAAAATGCTAACGTTCAAATAAATCGTTTCAATAATAAAAGTTAATCAAATATATTATAAAGCATTTCATTTCATATTAAAGAATTCATTGAAAAAAAAAGAACTTTTAACAATATGTAACCTATCATTTCAACTTCAGACTCTCTTGTGAATATTTGCAGATTTGCTAGGATTAGTTATCCTTCTTGATCAGTGCATAGAGAAAAATTACGTTTCGATCAGTTGATTGAAATTGAGAAGTAGACATGGTAAAATTCATTATTATGAGAACTTGATCAATGCTTATCTACATGCTGTATACGAAAAACGCCTAGCTGTCTAAGAAAATGACGGCTATATCGAGATCGAACACATACTATTTTTCATTAGATCTTTCGGAGGACGTTCTTTTTGATTACAATTTCTTCATGGTTTTGGTCATCTGACAGATCGAAACGTGAATTTTCAAGTTTATTGCGACAGAAAAAAATGGTGATTCCAATAAAATGTATATATATTTTTGGAGAAAAGCGTTTTATGAGATATCGATTTTTTCAATAATTGATTTTCGTAGCTTCGCATCGCATTTCGTGGTCGAATGAAACTTGTATGTCATCTAGTTAATGCGTTATGAAGTATACCAATAATGTAGTCAGTAGTATTTGCATTCAGTCTTCATACTTTACATGTTTTTTTTTACTGTAACAAAATCTAGACATTGCGAGGTGGTATTTTAGAGAACGGCGAGTCGTTAGAAACTCGTTCGATCGATGTGTGTCAGAGAGGTCCATGTCTTGAGATGATATAAATGTTTTTGAGTCTTCAATGTGAGTTTCCGTTCAACTTCGGTACGTCTGGCAAAATCGCAATTTCACCTCCATATTTTACACGAGATATTTCAAAGAAGTGAGCTAATCTTCAGACAACTAAACCGGCAGTTTTTATGTCAATCGAAATATGATTGTCGAAAATTGAGATTGCTTCCCACGGCATTTATGTAGTCCTTTGTGAGTTCTCTTTCTTCTTTTTTACTTACTAGACATACACATCGAAAGTAAACGTTGTTTTAACACCGTGGATTTGTGGGGAATGTTTTTTTCCATACGAAACAATTCATATTTAAAATCAAAACCAATTGTATCTTTTAAGCTCGTTACTATTGTTATTCCATACATAACAGGAATAAAAAAGGTTATTGCAGCTTCAGCAACAGAGTGGATGTGTATCTCACCAAACAAGAATGTATCAAATTAAACTTAAAGTAGTGCTTTGTTTTAAATTCCGTCCTCTATCTATAAAGATGTGACGCGTAAAAATTTGCTATATATTTAGTGAGACCTGTACTTCGGCTGTCGCTAGAACTACTGTAAGCTTTTTACTGCTGCTATTTACAGTGTAACAAAGGTATATAACTTAAGTGATATAATTTTTTTTATTCGACATATAAGAGTTTCGCGCGTAAGAAGATTTTCTATAAATCCATACTGTTAAAACAACTTTTAGTACGTTCTTCGATGCATGAATAAGACAGTATAAGAATATCTATCTATGATTAATGTATACATAGGAGACGACGAAAACAACTGTTCAACATGAAATGTCTATTTAAAAAGAATATCTGATGCAGTTTATAGTGCTCTTGCCAATGATACATCGAAAAATAAAATTAACTAAACATTATAGGAGAAAACTTTCTTGAGTAGTTTTTTTGCTGGAAATTTTCGTCATGGATCACAAAAAAAAACATTCTTTTGTTTTTTAATCCTACTAAAAGGAAAGCTACGACTTATGTAGAGCGCAAGTTGTTTTATTAAATCACGTATCATAACGAAAATTTCAACTTAGAAAAAGATGCAAGGGCAGTTTGCAAAAAATAATTGGTTGGATAGTTTTGAAAGCATGAATAACGACACGCTGTTATTGTATTGTCAATAATAACTAAATAGATCAATGAATTGATCTGAAATTTTTTACTAATACATTAGAGACTATAGGCTGTAATCTGACGTAAATCAGATGATGCTAGCTCATCTAGATTTTGAGATATACACAAAAGAATATAAAATTATCCACTAATTAAATAATTTTGATACATACTGTACATATTAATTGTCCAAACAGTACTCTATGATTCTATAATACTCAGAACAATCCAAAAGTAGTGGCGGAGGTATTTTCATTCTTTATACGAAGCTTTAAAAAAAACTTTCTCTCTATAGTTTGATAGTAAAAACAATACTCTATTTTTCTATGATATTTCATGATTCTTCAACTAATAGCATAATAGTAAAATTTCAATAAGATCTGTTTGGTTATGATGTATGATGGTTACATTAATTCATATTTTCTTCGATATGTATTCTCTTCTTGATTTTCTCTTTTTTCTTCTTCTCACTTTTATATATGCTCTTTTTTTGTCTCATCTAATGCATAGCTGTCTATATATACTAGGATATACAAAAAGTAATGACGGCAAAACAAAAGTGCAGTACAGTAACACGTAGCTCATGCTTCTTCTTCTTCTACCTCATATCGACCTTTACGAAACCATTTAGATTATCTTTCAACTATCTTAAGACAAGAAGCTTTACCGCCACAAACAGAATATAATTTATTATGAGTAACTCTTGCTTGAATATTAAGTACAGTGCACACTTTAATGTAGAAGTAAAAATTTCCCTTTTGTCATCTAAAACAGATGAACAGTGTCAAGATTCAACTTTGCTTTCTATCTCTAATTTTTTTTGAACACACGCTAATAAATTACAGATGCAAGCAAAACAAACAAGACATGCGTCTTTATACATATATATGTGTAGACGGTTAGGCATTAAAAGGGACGAGAAAAAAGAACAGAGAGAAAATCAAGAAGAGAATACATATCGAAGAAAATATGAATTAATGTAACCATCATACATCATTACCAAACAGGTCTTATAGAAGTTTTACTATTATGATATTAGTTGAAGAATCATCAAATATCATAGAAAAATAGGACATTGTTTTTACTATCAGACTATAGAGAGAGAAAGGTTTTTTAAACTTTTTATAAAGAAATAAAATATCTTTACCACTACTTTTGTATTGCCTTGAATAGTTTATAGACCATGAAAGAGAAAAATACATTTAGTCACAGAGCATTTCGACAGACTCTCATTCGACTCAAACATATTGTCTAAATCTTGTTGTTTATGTATTTATCGAAGGAAAACGACGTACTCCTCTACTCCTGGAGTACCTAAAGCACAATGGAATATATCGCATGTAATATGAAATCAAGGAGGGAACAACATATTTCAGTACTTCCGTGCTGCTTAGACTCCCACTGTACTCCCTGGGCTTCTTATACATTCATTGTACTCCTCAGATTACATGGGCCCCGGGAATACAAGAGATCTCGTTTTCCTTTGTACTCCCTGTACTCCGGAAGCCCAGTCCGAGCACATGGACTCTGTGGAGTACGGAAGTACGCCGTTTCCCCGTTGAATGTAGCACTTCAGAAGGCCTACTATAATCGAATGGTCCCTGTCGCCCTTATTCTAAGTCATACCTACGTCCCTTGCCTTACCAGTCCGATATGGTCCGTCTTACCTGTACTCGTTTTCGACTAACGGGGAAGCAGTCTCTCTGGTCGTCCACCTCGTGCGCTATAGAGAGCCGAGGTGGTCGGATGCAACGAATAACAATTAGAATCAATTTATTGAAAAATCAAGAGAAAAAATCCTAAATTGCATCTTCCTTTTGACATAGTTCATACTATCAATCGTTCTTTTAATTAACGGATGTGTTGCTGCAAGTGACTTTTGTCGGACAACAAGCGCTCTTCCTAAAAATGAAAGTGCTTTTCAGTAGTTGCCTATGTTTTTATACACTAGACCGATGTTGTTGTAGGAAGCAGCCAAATCCGGATGATTCGGGGGCAGAGATATTTCGAATACTTTAGTTGATTTTTCCAAAAATTCAAGTGCTTTCGAGTAGTCACCCATGTGGTTATAGACAAGACCGATATTGTTATAGGAAATAGCCAAACCCGGATGATTCGGAGGAAGAGCTTTTTCTTTCATTTGATGTGATTTTTCGTGAAACTCAAGTGCTTTCGAGTAGTCACCCATGTGGTTATAGACAACACCGATATTGTTATAGGAAGTAGCTAAATCGGGATGATTCGGAGGAAGAGCTCTTTCTTTTATTTGATGCGATTTTTCGTAAAATTCAAGTGCTTTCGAGTAGTCACCCATGTTTCTATACACTTCACCGATGTTGTTGTAAGAAATAGCCAAATCGGGATGATTCGAATGAAGAGATTTTTCTCTTATTTGATGCGATTTTTCGTGAAACTCAAGTGCTTTCGAGTAGTCACCCATGCGGTTATAGATAACACCAATATTGTTGTAGGATTGAGCCAAATCGGGATGATTCGAATGAAGAGATTTTTCTCTTATTTGAT